ATGGGTGAAAAGAATAGCATGGTGCAGGCTTGATTTGGTGACATGATAAAGCATTTCTTTCCTTTTTCCTTCTTTTTCCCTCGTCCTTCCAAGAGAAGATGAGGATCCCTCGTCTGCACGTGTGCTACATGGTCTGGGTTCTTCTTCCTGGCGTTTGTATTACCCTTTATATAAATAGTTACCAAGAGCAGGAAGTGTTGCCTGATGGCACCATCTGATCTCCCACCAACTCTGAAAGAGAAGCTTCAGAATAAATTGAAGCTGAAGAGGGTGGCGGGGCACAGGCGCCTGGGGGAAGGGAGCCGGCTCACACATCTTCCAATCCAGCACCCAGTTTGACTTTTGCCCTCTGCCTCTTACAGCTCAGGCTCTTCACAGAGGAGCTGGAAATGAAGCCAAGTCTGGGGGCAGGATGGAGAAGAGAGGAGGACTTTGTGGACTTCGAATTGAACCGACAACACGCAAGTATGTCCAGTGAAACCCGCACACACATTTCTGGGCCCTTGAGCACAACACTTACCAGGATGGTGAGATAGCATCATTGAAACCTTATCTGGGGACACCTCTTTTCATTATTATTTCCTGTTATTTTAAAGATGAATCTTGGAAATAACAGGTGTCATCTGTTTTAAAGAATTGAGTAATTATAGCAAATACCGCACTCTCATACACTCCTAGTGTGAATTCTGAGACTTTTGCCTAGTCCCAATATCTGTTACTTCCCAGACTTTAGGATGCGTGACAGTTTATTCTCTCTTGTTTTACTTGTGTCACCTAGAGGGCAGCTTGGGGCTCACATCATTTCCCGTTTCCGCACAAGACACAAGCTGCTGTCGTTTATTGAGGAGTGCTCCTTCCCCCCTGCTGCAGTGCCCATCCCTCACGTTCTCCTCAAGTTCACTTCAAATATCTGCAGAAATGGCAGCCAGGATTATGCATGAAACAAATTCTCAGTTATCGAAAATGCTGCTTCCCCAAAATTTTCTTGCAGAAATCTTATAAAACTGAAAATCACTTGATTATTGAATTTTAAAGCTGGATAGAACATTAGCAATCTTCCATCATAATATCTTATATAAAAGATAAGGAAAGAAAACCCAAATCACCAATGACAGGATCTAGACTAGAGCCTAGTTTTACTAATTAGCAATTCAGTTCTGTATCCAGAACATTAGCACTGATACTCAGAAATTCTAAAATTAACCATTCACTGGAAACAAGGTAAGTGCTATGGCCACTCTAGGAATCTAATCAAATAGATGTACTGGTAGAGGAAAGATTCATTTTTAAGTAATGCTAACGGTTTTTAAAATGTAGAAATAAACTCATATACTTCCACAGTATGCCAGAAGAAGATATCCAAGTTATTTGGAGGCTTGCATGAAGTAAAATCAACATTTCAAAAACTAAAGTCAAATCAGGTCACCTTCATAAAGCATAACGCACCAAAATGCCTCAGACATACATTGTAAGAACTGATCTTATCTTGAGCTCAGGAATTAGGGGGTCTTTTCTACAAACAGCTGTGCAGTTCTAACCACATGATACGTATACAATGGAAAAAGCATGGAGTTGTGGGAAACAGGGAAATATGAATATGCACAGACTCAGAGAGCCCAGTTAGTCACAAATCACAGGGATATTAATTTGCACTTATTGCCTTAGAGGCAGATAGAGTTGGACACCCGTGGAAATAGTGTTTGAATTAAAAACAGAGAGAGGTAAAAATGGATGCTTTAGAATGGCTTGCTTGAACAGTTATAGGATGACAAAGGAGACATTATGTTCAAATCCAAATGAGCAAGTTCTGAACTAAATTAGCTCTGGGATTTGATTTAAAATTAAAAAAAAAAAATTCTGGAAAGAGGCAGTACTTGATTCCTCCATCAGATACCACTAATCTCAATATTTTAAATTTCTCAGCTGGTGCAGGGTAAGCTGGCATGTGCATGTACATTTGGCCAGCAGTAGCACAATGGCATGTAAGGTTTCCATCAGCAGGGACCTCTGGTTTAACACATCCTTTCATTTTCATATATTTTTCTTAGTGAGAAGTACCTCAAATTTTTACCACTGTAAGACTAGAAAATTCTTACCAATGTGTTGCTGAACCCACATTTCAGATATTTTAATTAAACAAATCCATGCATCTAGGTTCCTGTGATTGGTCAGGGCCATTATCTTCCCTTTTAAACTCATGGTTCAAAAAGTATAAGATAACCATGGGGTCAGTCTGATAAAATGTGCTGAACCTAAATTGGATTTTAGCGTTAATTCATTTGCTAACTTACCTCCATCTTGAAAAACAATGACTGTCATTCATCATCACTGTCATCATCACTATCAACAGCCATGAAAACAAGCATTTTTGTATCATCAGCTATGAACATGCTTGGAACATCCCGCTGATCAGACGGCAGTCCTTGGACAAGTACTTCAAGTTAGACATCCGGACCCATTGTGTAAAAGCAGTGATGGGGAAAGGTTTAGCTCCAGGAGCTGGAGAGCCATTGCACATTTGCATGGCTGGAAAGGAGCAGGTAGTCTGTTGGGAAAAGATAAATGGGATTCTACAAGAGTGTTTGTCTAGAGTGGTTATGGACTGTGCATCTCTCACAATCTCATCTACGTACACAAGGCTAAAATGGGATAGAAACCTGCCAATCCTAAATAACGGTTCCCCAAGAGACATCCAAATGTTAGGGGTAGTGCAGGAATCCTAAAGAACAGCAGTGACTTATCTTTGAGTCACAAGGGGTCCAATCATTTGAAATCCAGGCCAACCTGTAGCAATTGTCTTCCATCAGTGCCTGCACCAAGAAAAAATCACTACAGACTCCATGCAGGGTGATTTTCTTTACTCTACTGCCAAGCTCCTGTTTCCAAAAGAGGGAAGCCTGGGAATTGTTCCTATCAAAGCCACATCCTCCTGGGTGGAGCTCCAAGTCCGGGTGAGGCCTGGGAGGGAGAACCCCCTTCGCCATGGGCACCCACATGTTACCTTTAAAGACTGAAACTCAGCAGATTTGGGCTTATGTGGCACACAGAGCAGAAGTTGAGAGGAAACACTACTTAAAGCAGGATAGGGAGGTCTCCTCTCTGGTGAACTCATCGGCCATGGTAAAGGTGTTTCTCTAAGGAATGTGCTCTTGCGTAACGAGAGCTCTAAAGAACCACAAGGCAAGAGGACCATGGAGTTGGCAAGTAGGTAAAACTAAGACTGACTCATCAGTGCCACCTTACAAAGTTGGCCCTGAGTGACCACTCATCCCTAAGAGGATGGTGATGAGAGAACTGAAGCATCATTGTAGTAGCAGATACTACTAATGTCTACTAGTAATAGTTCAGTAGATATTAGTAGGTATCTGCTATTAGATATTAGTAGTAGTATATTTGAAAGAGGCGGACTCCCTTCAAACAAAGGTTGTATGCACTACGTTCTCTTGTTCCAGTGAAGTCTTGGAAGTACCTCTTTTCAGGTGCCTTGGCACACTGTATTCAGAGGTGTTTCTTGCTCCAGTTTAGAAATATGGACATTAACTGTCTTTTCCCTACTCCATGCCAGCGGGCCGTGATCTGCAGCCATATTCTCCAGTTTCTGCAGAGGTGCCAGGCTGGGGAGAGCCAGTCAGTCTCACCCACCTTCATTCCAAGGAGACTCAGAGTGGATCTGGGACGTAGGGAGGGATAACAACAATGCAGAACGCAGCCGCAATCCACGAGGCCTAGACTGGTGGCTCCGGAACCTGCTGCGTGGAAGAAATTGGGCTGTCTGGGATCTGGGGGTGGGGGTGGGGAGCAGAAGGGCATGGAAAGTGAGGTTGATAATCTCAGTTTTACTAGCAGCAGCTGAAAATGACTTCATGCCTGTCCCAGCACTCCTGATTCCTCTCCGGTGGAACTGACCCCAGAATCACAGCTACAGCCATTTCTGAGAGTCTGGGTTGTGACCTCATTTCCGTCTCAGTGGCTCTTCAGCTACTTATTTACTTCCCAGAGTCAATCAGAATAGGTTAGAAGTACTCAAATATTATTCCATATTAAGATCTCCCTTCCCTCCTCATTTGTGGTTGGAGGTGGGGTTCAGGGGTCAGGCATGGCGGGAAGACAGTCCCCAGAACACTAGCTGATGGGATTTGGGACCATTTGCTACCAAACACAATGTTCAAGGCAGGTTTCATTGTTTTGTTTTTTGTTTTTTTGTTCTTTTAGCAATAGCTACCCTCTGCTGCCTCATAGAAATCATCAGACCTGAAAGCCTTCTCCCTGTCTGGACTTGACACTCTGCCCGGGTTACGAGGAGAGGTGTTGGAACACAAGCAGCATGTAGCAGCCTGGGCCAGCACCCCCGGGAGCCACCCCACGCCACGCCTTGCTTCTGTGAGGGGGATCGAGGGGCCTCATGACCCCTGCTTGTCATTGCAGCACTTGCCACAGAAACACCTCCCCCCAAACACCCCAGGAGGGGTCTGAGAGCCCATCCCCCTCCCTGTTCTTCAAACCTGAGACAGGCCGGCTGCCCCCCTGCGCCCCGCAGAATGAGGCACCAGACCAGGTGAAGAGGGACATGGAACACTTTTTAATGTCAAGTCAGAGACAACCCCTCCCTCCCCGACCCCCCAATCCCACTTTCCCTCATCATATCCAGGACCCTTCCCCGAGGCTTCTCTGGTTCCCAGACTTCAGGGGAGGAACAGAAAAGTTACCTAAAAATTTCATTTTCTTCTCTTTCATACACACTCACACAAAGATGGGAAATTAAATTAAATAAACCAAGAGGATTAAACTCTCCAGTGGTCACAAAGGCATCAGAGATTCCCATAATGGGTTGAAGCAAGTGGTTACTGACGGTTTAGTCTGTTCAGTTGCTTGCTGTCTGTTAATGCCACAGGGCGTGATGGAGCAGGAGGCCACCTAGGCAGCCTGTGCTGCAGAGAGCCACACCTGGAAAGATGCTGCGCCTGGTATTAGTTGTTTGCTTTTTGTTTTGTGTTTTTGTGTTTTCTTTTCACTTCTTATAAATGTCTCTGACATGTAAATAACCCAAGAAAATAAAAAGGCAGGAGCTGATTACACAATTACCAGTAAACTCTATCATCTTGTAGAAGATCAACACACAGCTAACGCCATATACAGCATGCAGTAATGTCTGAGATAGGACCCTGCTGAGAAAGAAAATGGCTAGAACTCTAACAAAAAAAATATATGTATATATATACTGTATAATATATGTCATCAAAAGAAGCATAGCCAACGAACCCAAGATACAGTGCAGATCACCTTTCCGTTTCTAACAGTGTGTCGATAGCGTAGTGCTGTCTGCATGAGATGCCAGAGTAAGGAGGAATCTGTAGCGCTGGTGGAGATGTTGGTAAAATCGGATGTATTTTTTGGTGGATAAGCCAAATCCTCACCAGGCGGTCAATGCCCAGTGTGTGGTCCACCAGTTGTAAACCTTGTTAAGAAGTACACTATTCATTTTTAATGTTTAACATACATACTTCTCGTCACCCCTTTCAACTGTGTATTTTTTAGTTTTGTCTTGTTTTTGCACTAAGTTCTAGACTCATATCAGAAAATATAATTAATAAAATTAATAATGAATCAGAATCTCTTATTATCCATGATGTCCATGTAGTAAAATGAAAAGAAACAGAAAGTTTAACGGTATCTTTTGTGACTGTTTGTGGGATTGTTGTTGCTGTCGGGCTGTCTTGTTTTGTTTTCCTTTTCTTTCTTTCTCTTTTAATGTCATGTGTTGTAACACACACAGCGGTGGCACAGTCTACCAAAGGACCCGCGGTACCACTTCTGGGCCTGAGTGTCTCACTCTGTGTCTGCCTCTATTGACTGACTGAATTTGGGATGGCCGACTCCAGAATGTTCCAAGGTGGGGAGCACTTTGTGGGCGGAGTGGCTGAGCCCTTGCCCATGCTGGCAACAGAGAGGTCACACAATGCTGCAGCTCGCGGGTGGGTCCAGGCCGGGTGTGCGTTCTTCCCATTCGGGAAAAGAAAGAAAACTCAGTTGTACCTAAATATCTGCAAGGCAAGTTTCAATTTCCTTTTTTAAACTTTTTTCCCCCCAAAGTATTCTTTGTTCCCCTCCCTCGAATTTCTGTCCCACTAGGCTTTGTTTCTCCAAATTTCACTGGAATAGATCTGATTTGTAGCTGTCGGTGTTGCCGTTGCTGTTGCGTCGGGGGTTGCGGAGGCGGCGGCTTTTCCCCAGGGGGGAAGTGGCGCTCACATCAAAACTTGAGGAGTAGGTGCAAGACCAGGAGAGGTAGCAGCCAGATGCAGCCTGCCCTCCTCGACGTGCTGTTGCTCACTTCGCTGACCGCGCCGGGGCCTGCGGAGAGAACACACCGCCATGAGCCGCCGGGCGTACAGCAGAAGAAAGCCCTGTCCGTGCCTGGTCTGCCACCATTAGGCCTTGCCCCTGGTGAGATGTCCCTCTGAGCAGAACACTGGTGTCCCAGCTCCGTCATTAGGAATGAACTTCCTATGGCGTGGGTCTCCTGGAGGCACCCTCTATGTGATGGGAAGGCTTCTGTTGCAGGGAGAGAACTTGAAACTCGGGTTAAAGGGTCCTGATGGCCATTATTCCTTTCCTGTGGCGTAACATGCTAAGGCCACAGCTCAGTGTCAAATTCAAGAAGAAAGTGGCAGAGGAATTAATATCCTACACAGAGCTTTAATAAAGGGAGACTCCTGTGCTGTTGGCACCATCACCCAACCACTTCCGAGCACTGCCTGCTTTAGACACTCACATCCCCCTCCGGCCGCCTTGCCTGTTGCTTGGGAAAGGACCTGTTGGACACAGCAATCTGTCTGCCTGCTGCTGTCACCTCCTGGGGCACACAGGCCATTCTGCCAACCACTCTGTCTCGGGGCAGGGCACAGGGTCCCACCTGGAGCGCTTGACCTCTTCCCCATCTGGACGAGGCAACGGCGGACACAGATCTAGTACCACATGCCTGAAAGGCCAAAGCCAGTCCGCACGGAGTGGAGGCGGGATCAGGTAAAGAAACGGGAGGCCTTTTGCACGTGGATGTGACTGAGGTTTGTGTGGACGCTGGGACGCAGAGCCTGCCCCTGTGCATGTCCTTGTTGGGGAGATGGGGGCACATTTTCCTTCAAGACATGGCCGACCTAGCCTACAAACAGATACTTTTTGAGACTGTGACAAATGCAGGAGGCAAAAGAACTATTAAGGTCATAAAATTCCCCAGCAGTTTCCCTATTGCACTGAAACATAAGCTTTCAGGCTACCTCAGCCCTGTGGCCAAGAGCTGTCATAACCAACAGAGCTGTGACTCCTGCAGTGCCCACGTTCAGATGCCCAGCTGAATTAGCTACCTAAGGAGCCAGGCCCCCTTCTCTAGCATGCTCTGTTGCACTGAATTTAACGGGGTATTTAAAGCTGGTGGCCTTGAGAGTTCATGTCCTCATGGGGTGGGGAATAAGGAACAAAGCCGGAAACTGCTCGCCTGTCTAGGGTGCTCAGCATTGGAGACACTTCTGGTTAAAGCAGATCAGAATCAAACCAGGCTTCTTGATTCCACGTGGGATTATTCCATCAAGCCCTAGAACTGGCCTGGAGGCCCTGCTCATCTGATTTTATTTCTTAGCCCTTTGGGATAAGCCTCTGCTTTGCGGGCAGTGGCTAAATAGATAGCCACAAGTTTGAAGTGCAGCAGGTCGTCCACCCTCATGTTTCCCTGGGGTCTTGTGCGCAGTAATCCCAAGGCCAGAACTACTTGGCGGTGCAGGTCCCCGTGTTGAGACGCTCTGGGGATCCCTACTCTGCCCCATATCCTGCACAAAGGTGACGTGCCGGGCAACGCAAAACTGAAGGCATCGGTGGTGTGATACAGGTGACCAAGGCACATTCCCGCACAGCTCCCAAGGACTTACACTTCAGTTGTAGAGACGCTATCATTTAGGATTTATCACTAATCAGCTTTGTCTTCTAGAATCTCAGTACCATGTTTCTACATAAACCATCACCAGAAACTCCCTCTTTATATCCTTTCACCCTGTCTACACAACACCATCTTCGGAATCAAAGAAGAGAAGCTGCAGCCATTGCTTTCAGGGGTGAGAGGTTATGTCTCTCCCTTGAGGAGGTCCTTGTCCTCTCTGCCACTCCCAGATCCATCCCACCAAGACCCTCGCCTGTGCCAGTGCTTCAGGCTGAGGACCCTGAGACGCAAAGGGTGGTTCTGAACCCTCTGGCCCAGCGGGCCTTTGTGGGAGCCGCGTCCCGTGTTTCGCCTGAGCAGAGTTGGCGTCACGTCCCATCCTCACAGGTGCGTTGCGCAGTATGATTCCGAACATGTCCTGCACACCTGGCACAGTGTGCTCCGGCAGGACGCACAGCTGTCGCACGTGGCTCTTTTGCTCTCCTGAACTCACACACGCAGCTTTGACACCCACTCCGCATTCAATCCCAGTGCCCCCCACCACGTCCTCCCTCCCTGCCTGCAGCCAAGATGCCCTGTGGTCAAAGAGAAGGGAGCACGTGCCACTCCCCTGCCTTGAGATGCTCTCTCCTTCCCTCCTGCACCCCTCCTTTCAGGACCATCAGCCAGTGGAAGTCTCCAGGGAGGAGAATTCCTCAGACAGGTGTTCAGCCCAGTGGGGGCCTGGCTTGGTTGCCATGTAAGAAAAGGCTGAAAATCTTGTTTCCAGGCTTGGGATTCTGCTACTCAGAGGCAGCTGTGGGCTGGCAAATGCCCCCTGTGGCACGTCTCAATGGCCTGGCGGCTGTGCCAGGTGCTCTCCCTGGGCGCCTGTGTTCAGAGCTCATTTGTGGCTCTGCTCCCTGCTGGGAAGCACTACAGAGAGCTCGTAGGGATGGGTCCTGACCTGTTGTGTCAGACAACTATCCAGTAGAAGATAGAAAAAGGCCACCAAGTGCCTGCCAGCATCCTGGTGCTGGTCACGTATCCAGGGAAAGCCCCAGGGGCCTCTGTGCCGCTGCCCGTCTCTGACTCAGGCTTGTGCGAAGTTGGCACTGGCTGTGCCTGACCACGTCCAGCCTGCCCGGCGCTCCCCAACCCCCACACACTCGCCCACTTCCCCACGAGCCCGTCGGTCCCTTCCGCACATCCAGGAAATCTGACCTGGACCGGGCTGGACAGAGGGAGGAGGAAACAGGGTAGTCCCCGAGGTAGGGCTACCCACACCTTTCAAAGCAGACAGCCTGCAACACCTCACTTTCGATTACCCCAAAAGCTCACAAATTGGGCCTTGATACTTCAGATTTATTCCTTACGCTAATTCCAGGGTGGTGTTTCTACGCTTCCAAATTGATCATGCTACTAATCTATTTGAGTCTGACAGCCCGAATAAAATTCCCAACTTCTTCGTAGAACGTGCGCTACATTTCATGGTCCGCCTGCTGCCTCCATCCTTCGCCTGTCTCGCCGCCGTGCCTTTATGGTGTCCCCACCCTGTGGAACACAGGCAGGTACAGTGCACACGGGCAGGCATCCTCTGGCAACACCCTCTGTCTTCCCCACCCTTATACACTCTCCTCTCTGCCCAAAATGCTCTCCGTCCACTTCTCTCCCATCCTGGCCTCAGTCACCTCCTCCAAGTGGCCTTCCGTGACTCACTTTAGTTTGCTCGCTCAGCGTCATGCGCATCCTGCCATTAAGATACTGACCACGCTGCGTCGGAATCTCTATATTAGTCTAACTCGTGTACTTCCTCCTCTGTGCCGTGAGCTCCTCACGGGCAGGCCCTGTGTCCCACTGGCCCGTGGCGGGTACCCGCCAGTGTTCGTTCAAGGAAGGCGGGGCACTGTGACCCATGCTGACATGTTCGTATTTATTTGTCCCTGTGTTTTTCTTTTATTTAAGATTATACTTGGAGAAAAAGAAACAACAAAATAAACCCAGCCAAAAACACAGCTAGAAACTCTTTTCCCGCTTCGTCTTCTGCTTCCCCCAATTTCCTCTCCCCAGGGCCCTTCCCCCCTTTTCCCAGCCACGTCCAGCGCGGGCGCTGAAGATTCCTGTGGCTAAGCAACGTGCACACAGAAGCAAAACCACATTGAGTAGGATTTCAGACAGAGTGCTTGCACTTGGGAAGCTATCAGACGACCTTAATCAGGCCGGCGCGGTGGCTCACACCTGTCATCCCAGCACTCTGGGAGGCCGAGGCGGGAGGATCGTCTGAGCTCAGGGTTTCGAGACCAGCCTGAGCAAGAGCGAGACCCCATCTCAATAAATAAATAAATAAACCAGACCTTAATGACGCTCATGCAGGAGATGAGGACTATTATCTCCTTCTCTAATATGTGGAAACTTAACTTCCGAGAGCTTAAGGCACTTTCCCAGGGTCCCTTGACTTCTGCCTTCAAATTAAATTTTCTTCCCACTGACTCAGAGATGCATCTTCAGGGAACAAAGAGAAGAGTGTGCAGCTGCAGAGCTGCCTCGCCTGGGCACGGGGGAAGGTGGTCACCGCAGACACATGGCTGGCTACCTCCCTCAGGTCACGCCACATGGAACGGACACTACCTGGAACAGTGCTATGCAGGGAGGACCTTTAGTCCAGCAAGGCATGGACCACAGCATCCTGGGAGCAAGGCCCTCTCAGAGCCGGTGCTGGCCAGAGTGACAGCTCAGCCATCTGCCTGGTGACACAGGCCACACAGATGAGGCTCTGTTTCTCATCCAGCCACGCCTCCATGCCACACTGGACGCCTTTATTGCCTCTAGCTCATTAGAGAGCTGCGGAGGCCTAAAGAGACTAATTACCAGGACAGTTAGGGTCCCAGAGAACTGTGATGAGTGTCAATTATCCATCGGAAACATCTGGCAGGAATGAAAGCCTCAAATAAGAGGCATTTTATTCGTAGCCCAGTGACTCACCCAAGAACCTCCCCCTTCTCCCCCCTTCCCCGGCCCTCCCCCCACTTCCCTGCGAGCTCCAAGTTAGAGAGAAAGAAGGAAAGAACGGAGCAAGCAAAGAGCAGCATGCAGGGCCAAGGGCCAGCAAGATCTTTGCATTAGAGCGTCCGTGTGCAAGAAAGAGGCAGGCCTGGCAGAGAGACGCCCAGGATGGAGCTATTCTGGGCACTGACAGGTGCTCATTAGTGCCGCCAGCAAAGAGAAGTTAGACTTCTGCACGTGGAAGCCACCCAGGGATGATGGGATGTCCTTGGGGATGGGGTTAATCTAAATTGACACAGACACAGCTCAGGGCTAGGGAGGGTTCCCTCTGGGATGCTTCCTGGGGTTAGCTTAGAAAAGAAGGCATCTTGGAGGAAGGTGTAAAGTTTTACATACCCTCTCCCCACCGAGGCAGCAGCTGTCTGAAAATAAATATACCAACCTTTCCAAGGGGTCAGGGCTGTAGTTTTCACTTCTAAAAGAAATTAAAAACAAGCCACTGTTAAGGTAGAAAGCAGTCAGAGGCTCTCACTTTGCCCTCGGAGGGTTTTAGGAGAGAGCCAGTGCTTCTGGGCCAGCAGCATCCCAGGACTCTGGCATCTGTGTCTTGCCATCCTGACTGCAGCCCAGCACTCACGTGTGACCCCCTCTGGTCTTCTGGGGCAGCCAGTTGCCATAAGAGGTGAACCGAGGGCTGGAGAAGGACATGAATGATAGATTGGACCACAGACTTACGCAGAACCAAAATATCCACCTGGTCTTAGCAGGAAATGCAGCTACACCTTGGGGCCCAAGGTGCCAAGCCAAAACTTTAGAGAACAACTTTCTTTCTTTGGTCATCAGACTATCCACACATTAGTTGAAGACTGTAGGCCTTATGTGTAAAGTTGACTGATGCATATGGATTGATTGCTACTACAGCAGTTTGACTGTGGGTGCTCATACTATGCTTGATATGTAAAAGTCTGATTGGCATTTAGCTATGTTTTTCGGCCCCGTTGGGGGTTTGGTTTCCCTTTGCCGGAGGGGCCCGGCTTTTGGTTTTTTGCTTTTTTTTGTTGGTTTGGTTATTCCAAGCTGGGCACCTAGGGCTTCATCTCTCTGGGACAAGCTGAGGCAATAAGACCCACACCTGTGCCGCTGCAGTTGCACTTGTGGGACCTTCCTGTAGACCAGCTCCTCTCTGCTGGCTAGACCATGGATGATCCCCGTTTCGCCAGCTCCGAGCTCTGGGAAGAATCCACAGGGCCTCCCCACCTTTTCTGCTGAGGGTAGATGTCTTGTCTGGCCTGAATTTGCGATGCTCTCTAATCTTGTACTTCTCTCTAGCTAGGGGCCTCTGCAGTTGCTCACCATGGATATAGAAAGGATGGAAAATGGCATTAAATCCTTTCGCTTTGAAGTGATACCGTGGGAGTCTGTGTTCTCTGTGTGAAGATCCTCGTATACAGAAAGAAAGACAACCTAGTCATAACTTATCTTAACACAACCATAACGTTCGCTCAAAGTCAGATGAATATATACTCGTGCATTCAAGCTCTCAATGTATTCTTGAAGAGTACCTGACATACGATATCCCTCTTGATTTAAGTGGACATAAGCAACTCTGAGAAGCCACCCTGAAGATATAAAGATGTTTCGTGACTGAGAGAAGATCTGACGTAAAGGCAGAACAGAGAAAAGCGAGGAGTGACAGTACCACGTCGTGTGTGCATTTAGAAAGGACAGTCCCTTGGAGTGCTTGCTGGGCCCTAGAAACCAGCCCAGAAGCTAAGGAGGGACTATTTTCATGAATTGTCTCATTCAGGTACCACTGATTTATCAGTCACTCTGTGCCAAGAAAAAGGGTAACTGGAAGGAGAAAGGACAGTTTGAAGACAGCCTTGGAGAGATGAAGCAGTCATACAACTTTTACCCCCAAACACAAGCAGGCAAAGATCTAAAAATGACTTCAGCTTAAGTGTTCCCATCCCGATACTTTTTCCCCCTGAATCTCCAACACAAACTGCTTGAAAGAAAAGGCCAACTTTCTTTAGTGTCCATATAGGACAATTTGACACTCAGTCTTGCCTTTAGCTGGAACTCGTCCCTGGGCTTTTCTAGACAGCAATGTTTCAATCCTTCCAGTTAACTAGAGTGTCCTTCTGCCCCACTCGTATCTCACCGCGATGAGGGGGAAATGCCCAGATGTTTGTACGTGTACTCTGAACCCATCCTGCTGTGCTCCAGTCCACTCCCTTGGCTTTGGTACTAGGAAGAGATGTTGACATGCTGGCACTGTCCTCTGTGTCATGCTGGACATGCTATTGTCCAGCATGAGTTGGGTCCTTTGAGTGTCCAATGCCAGTGCAAGCCATAAGTGACATTTTGGCTATCGAGAAGACAAAAAAAAAAAAAAAAAAAAATCCCTGAAAATCCAAGTATGCATTTTTCTCATCCAGACTTTGGAATTTAATTAATCTCTTTGTTAATGATATATTAACAAGAGGCTAGGCAGAGTGGGAAAAAGGTTCAAAAGGAAGAAGAAGGAAGGAAGGCAAGAAGGAAAGGAGGGAAGGAGGAAAGCAGGGAGGGATGACAAAAAGAAAGAAAAGAAAGGAACAAATAAAAGTAAAAGGAATCCCCTATCCCAAGTCTCCATGTCAATATTCAATATCTCTGTTCAATCCATAACGTGATCTTTTTGCCAACAAAGCCCATACTTAGCCAAACTCAAGTGCCCAGGTAAGCACAGGGATGCTGTCTGATTCTGGCGGGCAGAGCATCTTTCATGTGAAGATGGATATTCAAAATTTCTAGAAAGAGGACGGAAGAATTTTTTGTGTTTTTGCACCTTCTGTTATTTGGACACACACATGCCACAGAAATGCTTACTGCTGAATTACCTGGCCTAATTAACCATCTTCAATCCTTTGCAGGGAAGAACTGATCATCTCTTCTGCTGCAATTGTTTCTTTCTGATATACAGGGTTTACTTTAGTCCCCCTTCTTCAATAAATTGGTCTGATGGTCACTGTGAGGTTCACAGGCATTAATCAGCCAACCTTTCCCAGCCCACTGATACTATCAAACCTGACTTAACGGCTAGAAGATAAAAGACTAAGGGTTGGTGGGTAGGAAATGAACAGCCACAGAGCCGCTGAGCTTGCATTGTGGCCCCGGCACACTTGCCCGTGCAGAGGCTCGGTGAGGAATGGAGGCCCATCCCTGAGTCCTTATTTATCACTGCAGAGTCCTGCACCACCAAATATTAATACGAGAGGGTGACATGCAATCTGTTGTGTTTGCAAAAGGGAAGCAGAGAAATACTTCAATGGTGGCAGAAAATGCTGAGAAAGAGCGAAATTCTCTTATCAAAATCCTTCTAGTCCATCCAGATATTGGGTAGCAAAATAGCTTTCGACGTCTCTTAAAGCCAAGTGTTCCTCTGTCAGTGGAAATTCACGCATTCGTATAAATCTTTCTCGGCATTTCTGAGATAAGATAAGCATAACTTGGGGGTATTCCCTGAGAGAACAGGTAGCTCTCTATTGTACTGAAAACTAGCAAAAGGGAGGGAAAATGAACACAAATGAGATAAATGTGCTCAGATGCAAGGTCTATTTTCTATAAAATATTTTTAATTCTCCAAAGGAGTCCACCAGCTATACTGAAGACCACACTAACCCAATTGTTGGAACGTTCCAGATGTCTACAGGCTGCAATTTCTGCCCTGACCTGTTCCCCTCCACCCAAGAAGATTGCAGAAATGAGGGGTTGAGCACATCCCAAGAATCGGTGTAGAAAGTTGGTGTAGAGAACCTGCCACCCAAAGTGATCAGTTCACAAAGTGGGGACGTGAGGCAGCCCAGCTGCATCTCAGTGGGTGGAGCCTAATAATGACGTCTCCTGCCCCTAGGCCCATGTTCAGCCACCAGGCCTTTTGTTTTTGTTGTTGTTGGCTTTCATGAGGGATGATGTCCCACCTGGCAGTTGAGTACACCTGCAGTTAAACACAAGCTTTTTAGAAACCACGACCTGAGTTTCCAAAGCTCCTATTTCCTCTAAGAATGCAGGTCCGAATGGTCAGGATTAGCTCAGCGTCTTCTGAAGGCACATCCGTAGCATCATGTCTCGGCTTCAGTCTCCCCACACCCCTTTATCCATATGTCAGCTACTTTTCTCCTGCTCTCCCTCTCAGATCTGTGGTGTGCCTCGCACGGGGTGCCACAGACGTAAGGTGAATTGTAAGTCGCGTCTGCATACGTCCATTGACTTCATTTTCCTGTTCTAGTTCTTCGTTTCATTCTCCCGTCCGTGGCTCATCGCCATGCTACACTATGTCACCAAGGTGAATAATGCAGCCCCAACTCTTCATGATCAAAGTACTTTTTCATCTGTCAAACTGCTTCCCGTGTAATTCCCTTCTCTCTGTGTCCTCCTCCACCTCCCAGACTGTGGCCATCCTCCCGGGATCACAGCCACAGTGGGAGTGGATGGGCAGGGCAGGTACTGGAGGTGAAGCACGGTAGGGTGTGGGTGGTAGGTGGGAACAGCACTCCTCATTGTCCTCACAGCTGCCCTCCTGCCGGGCTATGGCCCTGGCATACCGCCCTTAGGAGGAGAGGAGCAGCGCGTGTGGCGCCAGTTTTAGTCCCCCTCGGCCTGGATGCTTGGTCGTGGTCTTAATGAGCACTCACACGAGGCCGGGACTCGAGGAAGTCTGAAGGGTGTGCAAAGACGGGCGAGAGATGCGGGACTCATGGGGGAAGCGGGACATGGGAGAAGCTGTACCGGGAGAAGGGCAAGGATTGAGTTAGCGAACCCCGGGACACTGAACTAAGGGCAGTCCTGCCTTTCAGCTTGCATCTGGAGATTCAAAATGCACCTCCCTATTTTCAAAGCCTATTTAACAGGCATTCTCAGTTGCCTTTGGAACTAGTCTGTAAGGGAGATAAGGCAGATCAATTGCATTGTGTGGAAGAGGAAATTGAGTCTAAATAAGGCTTAGTGTGCGACTTGCCCAAGAACAGAGAACTACTGAAGGCCAGGCTGTAACAACATCTCGGCACAGCCCCTGTGCAGTACTGCTTGTAGGCAGCCATGCCCACCTCCCCGTGGGAGAACCTCGTGGGAGCAGGGGATGCCTTTGATAGGCTATTTGAATCATCACGCGCATGGCATCTGAGTCTGTAGCTAAGAGGCATCGGTAGGGCTCTTGTCCTGAAAACTGCTCCATCAGTTGGACTTGTGTTCCTGTGGGTCCAGACTCACTCTCTCAACATTTTGCCTTCATGCTGACCCCTGGGCTTTGAACTTTTAATGCTGTTTTATTTTCCTTCCCCCTCGCCACCCTCCTGGGGGAGCTGTCTTTGACGTCTCCCCAGCTCCCAGGAACCTCCTTAAACAGCCTTCCACTGCCATCCTCCAAGCAACCTTACAGAAAGGGAGCCTCAGGACACGCACCGCAGGGACAGGGAGTGGGGAGTGGGGGCTCTGGGAGAGAGGAGAGGGAAGAAAACATAAAGCAAGGAGGATACTGACCTTGCAACAAAGTTGAGCTTGTGGGCTCATTTAGTTCTAAATCAGGTGGGGACATACAGGAGAGAAAAATGAGAACAAACACATATATTATATACAGTAGCTATATATTTGTCATATATAGTTTGTATACTGCCTTTCACAAACAGTTCTGGAGGAATGGATATAAAGACAGACACAAAAACCAAAGGTGGCAGGACAGGGCGCAGCAAAACAAACACTGAAATGCTGTATGTTTCTGTACTGGACGCGACATGGGGAAGTGAGGGAGCTGGCCACTCCACACGTTCTCTGGTGCAGATGGAATCGCTCCTAGCTTGTGCCGAGCTGGGTCACTGATTTGGTGACAAAGGCCCAACGCCTCTTTCCAGATGAGATTTCTCTTCCACATCCCCACCCCCATTGTTTCACCTTGGGAGACCAAGGTCAGGACTTTCTGATCCCCAAAGGTCCCCTGGAACCACTGTGATTCGGGAACACGGGGGCAGGACTCAGAATCCCGTGCAGGCTCTGTCATCTTAGAGAGCAGGTGCTCAGAGCCCCATCGGTTTGTGACGGGAAGGACCAACCTGCCCCCATTTGGCTTAAGTACCTGGAAAGATACTGACCGCGACCACGACGGGAGTCTCTTGCACCAGAATTCCTCACTTCTCAATGTCTAGGTCATGTGGACAGAGTGTGTAGTTTATGCACAAGTTGGTGGCAAAATGATGGTAATTTAGCTGGCTTTCTGTAATGCCACAGGAGAATGAAATTCATTGTGAAGTTTGTATATTCATAAAAACTAACAGCTGCTCTCCAACTTGCTCAAGTCTGCTGGATGGACTTTAATGGAAAATGACATGGAAAATTTCCTAACAAATTCACATTTTTCAAAAGGGCTCATTGATTGTGAGTCTCGCTAATGAACTGAGGAGCCACGTCATGTCTGGACTAGCCCTGGCGAGAGAGGGTGGGTTGGAAATAACTTGCCTCACGCATGGTGGGATACTACCTGCATGCAACTACAGTACCCAACAGCATTTCTTGTGATGAACTCCTCAGGAAATGTCTCTCAGCTGAGGCTACAGCATTGAATTGGTTTCTGATTGACCAAATTCTGAAAATGTTGCAAACTTTCTCTCCCTCTTAGAGATGACTCATGTTAAAGCTCTGAGACCTCCTGGGTTAAAGAACATCCCCTCCTGCACCCTGTTCATGGTCATTTGACCTGGTCTTTCTAAACATGTTTGAATATACACTATTGCTTTTTAAAGTACATTTTAGAGAACTCTGGACTCCAGAGAGCTGGCAATGGTAGGAACGCCCCACCCCCAAGGATGCACAGGGAGATGCACCCCTGGCATGAAGGGGTGGGGGGAGAGTAGAAGTCCAAGTCTTAATTGCCACACGTGGTCTGCTGAAAAGAGCATATTTATGACCCATGCTTCAGTGCTTTGCTTGTCATAAATGCCAGCTATTTCACTCTTAAAAAAGTAAGTTTGCTGCTTCTCCTTATTCTCATCCTGAGATGGCTTAAGGGGAAGAGCCAGGGAATTAGACAGTAGTGATAAGGCCAATGGCAAAACCATTTTATGCATCCAAATCAGAAGAGAAAGGAGGTCAGAGAGGGCTGGAGACTACTGAGGAGGATGAGGACTCCATGGGTGGAGGGCAGGGCTTGGGAAAGTTTAATGGAAAGTGAGGGAGAGCGTCAGATTTGCAAGGCAAGGGAGGGAGCAGTCTGTGCCTTCCTAATCCTGGCCTTCTATTCATGGAGACGGACACCTGCCAAAAAGCCAAAAGGGCCTGACAAATGTGAGGGGCATTTATGATCCTCCCTGTGTGTGGGATGTCAGACAGATCAATCACTTTAATCACACCTCTGCCCATTCTGAGCTGCCGGCTCGGGGCTGGAGGGCGGCCTTCCCATCCCTGGCCCTCTCAGATAAAGCCGGGCTTTATTTTATGTGCTGGGCAAGAGGCAGGGAGGATGTGATCTGGAAGCAGAGATGGCACGGTGGAGCAATGCAAGCTGGACACACTGCCGCTGAGGGCATGTAGCAGGGGTAGGGGTGACAAAGGGCCCTCGAGGCTATGGGATTGTCCCGGAGGTCTCAAAAGAAAAGGAATTTAATTCTTGCCAATCATCTGCCAAATGCCTCCCCTTTCCCTGCCACCACATTAGAGAGTGCTTGTTGACATGGGGGTTTGGGGAACCATCTGCAAAATCCTAAACTCACTGACCTTGGTGGAGTGTGGAGGAATTTGCCCAAAAGGTAAGCATCTGCGTCCATTAAAGCATGAAAGCCTGGGCCCGCCCGATGAGGACGCAGTCAGGAGCCGGGCTCCCTGCTCTAAGAGGGTGCGGCACCAGGGCCACAAGGGGCTCGCGTACTTGCCGCCGCCATCACACACCAGCCACATACGTGACGGAGGCGGGTGTCTTCACGTCCCAATGACTGAGGGCAGTTCGAGACAAGGGAAGGTTTTATACTGAACCAACGAGCAAATACTGAAATAGTTCACGTTCCTCTCCGGGATCTTGACTATTTCAGCTAATTATAGTCCCCATAGTCAGTTTAGGAGGTATCACTGAGAAAAAAAAAATTAAATGTCATTTTTGGCTTCCCAAAGTCTTTTTCTCCTGTCTCGGGATTTTTTTCCATTATAGAATGAAACGTGAACTTCTTTTTCATTTTTCTTTTCCCACTCCTGACGTCTACTTTTATCTATGTACCAGTTCTCTCTCTTGCTCTTTCTCTCTTGCTCCGTGTCTCTCCGTCTCTGTCTCTCCTCTTTCTTACTCCTCTCACCCACCCCTGCCTAACCAGCTTTCGGCACCAGCCTTCCCAGGCCCCATGGCTGGCCTCTCCCCTGCAGGTGACCTCCCGTTTGAGCCCTGCCCCCCCGCCCCGCCCAGGGCACAGCCTCACCAAACAGCATGATGCTGGCGTTGGTGTGGCCCAGCTTGTTGGAGGCCACGCAAGTGTAGTTCCCATAGTCGTGCTCAGAGACGTTGAAGAAGATGAGCTTTGAGAGGAAAGGTCTGTTTTCCACTTTGACCCCTTTCTTTCCTTCCATCAGTCTGAGATACACAGGAGACAATAAAAGGAGAAAAAAAGGCGTGGTTATATTTCTCTCGTAGGGAGAAGACAGACCCTGGGGTTAATGATCTCCCTTCGCCTCCCTTCTGACACCATTACAATCATATCTGTTCCACTCAGCTACACCCCAAGTTCACACGCAATGTATGTCATTGTGTTTCTCTGTTCTCATGTGTGTGCCAGGGACGCTGCTGACGGGGCGTCTTACTGCCCTATGCTGAGAAGGCAGGTGCAGCCTCTTCTCCTTGCTTTGTAAACCCGTCAGTCACACTGCGACAATCCCACCGCGTGAGCTGTGCGACGTTGAGAACAGTATCATTCGTGCAGCAGGTGCCCAGATGTGTGGACTCGACGAGGATGATGGTGATAAGGAAGATGGTGATGGTGAGGAGGGAGACACATGAAAAGGAAAAACCCGCGCTTCAAAGAGGAGAACAATCTGAGGGCTTTGGAAGAACAAGGTTTTTCAAGCATCTGGGTAATAAAATTTCTCCTTAATCACGTGAGTCATTTGATAGATAATACTTAATTTTTTGGCTTTGAAGAGGGGAGAACCATGATTTTCTCATGTGGGGCCTGTGAAGGGCTCGGAGGAGTGATCTGGGCAGAGTGTCACAGAGCATCAGTCTGGGGCGCATTAGAGGCTCCTAAGAGTCTGACCCTACAGAGCCAAGAGTGTCGCCCGGACCGCATTAGGCTGCCCGTGTGCCGCAGGGCCTTACCGGGGTGCGGGGGCACCGAGGAAATGCCACAGGTAGTCCGTGGGGAAGTTAGATACACTCATTAAAACCACGATTCTATTACTGGGCAGACGGGGTAGTAAAGCAAAAGCTGTTTTAGGGGACAGGGGGGATATTTCCTCCCTCTCAGGAGTTGTTAGCAGCAATTCCTATTACAATCGTGGGTCTCCACAGACTCGGACCACCTCTCTTCCTGTGAAAACTCTGCAGTGTCCTATTTCAGATGATGGGCTTCTTGGCAACCCTTTACTTTCCCTGAATCATCTGTAATTCTTGCCCGGAAGCCGATTCTATGCTGTGGGAAAGACAAATACTATCAGGGCAAAAATCCCTTAAAGAAGGATCTTGGGGAATAGGGACACAAACCTAAATTTTCTTTTACGGCATGGCTGTAGCAGGACTCCTAGCAAGTAGACAATGTCACAATGGGGATATACTGCAACAGGCTCAAGGGACATGCTTTGGGGCAAATGGCTGGTATTGGAGTCACCAAACCAGAAAAGACAATATTCAAGGCAAAAGAAGAAAGCGAAGCCCAGTAAGATGACTGTGAGAAGATGCTTTGCAGGCTGCAAAGCGGGATTCGGCACGATGCATTTCTGTGGAGTCAGACATAGAAGACTCCTGCCTGTCCCTGGGTCGCAGCATGTTTCTGGCACAGAGGGCAGCTGCCTTGTCATTGTCCGAAGGCCCCGATCTCTGTGGAATTACAGAAAAATTCTCTCCCCAAATTTACAGCAACCTTGATCAGAAGAGAGAGGCAGGTTTCACTGGGGTTCTCACTCATCTGTCTCCAGGGAAGTCAGGAGACAATTTGGAGGGACCTGCCTTGCTTTTCATTATGCAGATTTTCCTCTGGGAGCCTTCCTCCCTCAAAAGCGAGGGGCAGTGAACTGGCCTGAGTCCACGGACTTCATTAAAATGCTAGCACTGTCCGAATGGAACGAGGCATCCGACTGTGCGGCCAGAGGCCACTTTTATGTGTCCTTCTTGCTATGCAGATATTGATCCTTTCGGGGGTGCTGTCCAAAGAAGGCTCTTCACGCCACCCACCAGGAGGCTGCTGTGAGCTGGTCCCACGTATAGATCCCGCTTGTCGTCCTGACCCTATTCCGGCCTGGGGAGGAGGCCTTCACCTCCACCTGATAACCAAGCTGCCGATGAGATTCGGCTCTGCAGCGGGGAGAGACTTAGGGGAAGCAGGTCCCTGCTTGACAGCCCTGAAATATCTTTAGCTAAAGACCGTGCAGGAGACCAGCGGCATTTTGCAGCACTTTGCAGCTCCTGGGATGGCACACTTCGCCCCTCTCCACGTGGCCACACATTCCCCATCCTGCACTGCTGCCCGGCTTCAGTTCCTTAATGAAGCTGTGGGCTTTTCACTGGCTAATGTCCCTGTCGGGCTGGTGGCCCTTGTTATTTACAGCGGTCCGTTTTCTCTCCCTTTGACCGATAACACACAGTAGTGTGCAGCGGAGTGGCACTGGTAGCCAAAAGACTTCCGACCTAAATGTTAAGAAAACTGCCCGTCCTCACCGCAGAGACTCCTTTACTTTGCCTGGGAGCTGAGTTAGAGCCGGTCTTGCCCCGGGCAGAGGCAGCGTGCCCTCGGAGACCTGCCTGGAGAAGGCTGCCTGGCAGGCACGACTGGCTGTGACAAGGACCTCAGAGGCAGAGGTGCGGTTGTCGAGCTGGAGGCCAGGAAGAAAGACAACTCCATTCAGTGGGAGAACTCCAGAAATAGAATGGAAAACTGACCAAAATAAATTGAAAGGGGAGATAAGGAGAAGCCATCAGAAGAACTCAAACAAAGAGTGAAACAAAACTGCCTGAGCCAGGGCCTCTGAAGACCGTCAGAGACCATGCTACTGCGAGCCCCCTCCTGGGTAGGTGATGGCGGGCGCTGCTGCCCTCCTCTGCCCACAGTCGCCGTGCAAAGAGGAGAGCTCTCGCATTGTTTCTCTCACCACTGGCCGTTTTTGCTCTATTCTCCTCCAAGACTTTGCTTTTCCCTATACGTTGTTTCTATTTTTCTCCTAAAGAATTCGAGTAATAGGATGCAGCTGATGAATTTTCACTAAGACCTATACAACTGAAGGTTCAGGAACTGACCCTATAGCGCAAACGATTTTTGTTTTGTTTTGTTTTGTTTTTTTCAAAAGTAGACCTTTATGTCTCAGTTTTCTTCTTAGTACAATAAGAAGATGGGGAGGAGGGAGGAACAAGTGAAGCGGGATTTCTAAGTAAGGTAAACGTGTTTATTTATTGCAAAAATTCTACGACTCCCTTCTGCCTGATTCTGGATTCTTGGAAGAAGGGGGAAGGCCAGCTCTATGGGAAGAAATTCTTATTTCTTTGTGGGTTTGCTTTTCCTCTTTCTGCCTTAGTTCTTTCATCTATAAAATGGGTAGATGAATATAACACATCTCATTAGAAGCTGCCAGAATGTTTCCTTAAAGATTAAAAAAACCAAAAACACTCATTCTAATCTGGAAGGATTAAGATAAGACACATAGTGACTTGGTTCTAGACAAAAGTCAAATTTTGATTCAGAGGCTAGATTTTGTGTCTGAGTGACGCATAAGGAGAGAAGGAAGGCACACTGAGGGTGCTCCACGCGGTGTGGGCAGCGGCCTGCCCGCTCCCACCCTGGCACAGCTGGGGCTGCTCTGCTCCTCAGAATTGCCCCTTTGCTGTCCTTCTTCTCAGCTCCTCCAACTCCAGGTCTCCTTCCTCTCACCGCACCCCTCACACTCCTGGGGACTTGTTTGCATCGCCACTACCACCACCTCCATTGTTATGAAGGTGTTCTGAGCACAGACAGCTCTGCGCATTTAGCTGTTGTTCATCCACCTTAAGATAGCTCTTTGATAACAGTAATTGCCATGTTGCCTGGCTGTGTACCGCGCTACTGATCCCCAAGCTGACATGCCATTCGATAACTCCTTGAAACGATCGTCTTCAGTGACTCACAGCAAATATCCCAACCACGCTGCAACAATGGGAAGGAAGGGAATAGTCCCCTCTCTTTTCTCCTGCAGTAAAAGAACAACTTGGGCACAAAGGGACGGCTAAATCAGGTCACGGACTCTTATACGCAGCTACTGATGGTGTCTGGAACGGAAGTGGTCCTGCTGGCTAGATGAGCTCCTTAGCCACTCCCAGAGCTCTGGGCATTCCGAATGCCATAATGGGGGCCTGAGAAGGTGTTAAAAATAGCTTCAGGCAGAACGCATCATTTTCTTGGCCCATAAAAACTCACAGGCCTTACGATGCTCCTGGTGGCCTTTCTTCTGAGATTTTTCTTTCCTAAAAAAAATACTACCTTTCAGGCCTGCTGGTTGGCAAGTGATAATTTTGCATGGTGACATTAAGATCTAGCTGAAATCCATTCATATTAAGAAAAAACTTGTTTGCATATCTCCCCCCACCCCTGTTAGATAGGAGGAATTCAGAAGAGGATTTTACAGGAATTCATTTGCAACCATCTGGAATCGGAAACCTGGAAAAGCTTTCTTCTTCTGGGAGGTGGGAGCGGGAGAGGAAGAGAGGGAGACTTTACCTTTTGTCATCCTTGTACCACTGGAATTCTGCTGAGGGTACTGCTGAGGCTTCGCACTGCAGAGTCCCCTTCTGTCCCACGGGGACACCTGTACCTTTAGCTTCTGAAATGTATGGTGGATCTGCAGAAAGAAGATGTCCCATAGCGTTTTAAAATGCGCTTTAGGATGAGGAAGGCTGCCTCATTTGTTAATTTCATTTCTCATTCCTCGTCCTACCTCTGCTTACCTGCACTGTCAAATTGCTATACAAGTTGTGCCAGAGAATGAAAACGTTTTCAACGCCATTCTAAGGAAAGGCATGTATTGCTTCTGTTCTCCTCTGCAAGAGCTGGAATGACGAGATATTCAGCAGATTTCCTGTTTAAACCTTTTAACCTTCCCAGGATCATGCACACCTGTCAACCCTATACTCCACGGGTTGGCAGTCAGCACCTTTAATCAGCCTTATAGAATTTCTGCACACCAGGTTCTCGCCAAAGTATACAACTTTGAACTATTCAATTCCCATCAAAAGCTCGGTTGCAAGAAATAACATTCATGGAGAATTGCCTGAAGGATGCACAGATCAGTCACTCTTCTTGGTATTCTAAAATGTATCCCTGAATCAAGCCAGACCAAACTAGACTTACGGGCCTGGCCTGCATTCATTTGCAGTCCTCACTAAACTGCCCTTGGCATTCTAGGAGTTTGCATTGAGGGGCATTATGAAAACCACTCACAAAGAAACTTTCTGTTCTATTTCATGCAGAAATATCATACATAATGTTGACTATATCTCACAGTGCTCTATTTGTGGAGACTCTAAAGAGAATTTTCTCTAGGGTCTCAGTACGAGGAAAACATTGCTTCTCCCAAGCAAATAATTTGCTTTTATCTTATGGAAAACAAAAATCTTAAAGGAAGTGATGTTTTTTCTCCTTGCTTCAGCAAAGCTAAGCCATGTTCTGGACCCGCACCTAGCACCCTTGTGGCATATCGTACCTGTGTTTTTTTTTTTCCCCAGCTTTCACTCATTTCCCTAAATGTATGTTTCCTTTGCTTCCGTTTCTTTACTTTTTAGGTTTATCTCAATAAACTATATATCATTTTAAGTCCCTTTTTAAAAAAATAATTGCGATGTTAAAAAAATGGTAACATTGTTATACCTATTTCCTTGCTTTTTAAAGTGTTTCATATTGACTAGGTTCACACTGTAAGAGAAATCAGAGTATTAAAGTAAAGGTTGGGGCTGGGAGCGGTGGCTCATGCCTGTAATCCGAGCTCTCTGAGAGGCCGAGGCACGAGGACTGTTTGAGCTCAGGAGTTCTAGACCAGCCTGAGCAAGAATGAGACCGCGTCTCTACGAAACACGGAAAAATTAGTCGGGTGTGGTGGTGTGCGCCTGTAATCCCAGCTACTCGGGAGGCTGAGGTAGAAGGATCACTTGAGCCCAGGAGTTGGAGGTTGGTGTGAGCTAGGCTAACGCCACGACACTCTAGCCCAGGTGACAGAGCAAGACTCTGTCTAAAACAATAAATAAATAAATAAAAATGAGTAAAGGACGGACATTCATCTAGACGTGCTAACATTCCCCTGCTTCCATGCCCCCCTGCACCAGTTTTTTTTTTTTTTTTTTTTTTTGAGACAAAGTCTCATTGTGTTGCCCGGGCTAGAGTGCCGTGGCGTCAGCCCAGCTCACAGCAACCTCAAACTCCTGGGCTCAAGCGATCCTACTGCCTCAGCCTCCCGAGTAGCTGGTACTACAAGTATGCGCCACCATGCCCGGCTAAGTTTTTTTTTATATATATATTTTTAGCTGTCCAATTAATTTCTTTCTAATTTTAGTAGAGACGGGATCTCGCTCTTGCTCAGGCTGGTCTCGAACTCCTGAGCTCAAACAATCCGCCCGCCTCGGCCTCCCAGAGAGCTAGGATTACAGGCATGAGCCACCGCGCCCGGCCTCCCCTGCCCCAGTTTTGAAGGGGAAAGCCCTGTTGTTTGCTGGTTTAGTTCTTGGGTTCTGTTCTGCCATGAGACTTCCTGGGATGTGCACAGCAGAGAAAAATCTCCAGAATGTGGAGAGAACTGAGTCAATGAACATAATGAGGAGCCCAGAGGGAAAAGGATCAAAGAAAGATAGGAGGCTGGAGTAGGATGGATGTCAGACAGAGCCTGGGTGGTCGATAAAGGAGAACGAGGGTCCACAGCAGTTGCCTCCAAATGTTTTGGATTCTGCACCTCTATTAGTAAAAGTCAAAATCTTGATACACCTTCGAATATCAGTATGTGTATCATTTGTATGAAAATTGTGTATGTATACGATGTATGTCAACATCTGTAACTGTAAAAGATGAAATATAATAAACACACTACAAACACGAGAGTTCCAGTATTTCCTTCACATGCTCTAATGCATAGTTTTGTGCTCCCTTATGGAGATGTCTGGTCTCGAGACTGAGAAGCTTCAGGACAACTGCATTGTGTGAGTAAATTATGGAAAAAATTAGGATTTGAAGACACGTTTATATAAATTATGCATTGAATGCCATTTAATGATCTCTCAGCCATGTAAGTCAAGTTTGGTATTAAATTACTTTCAGTTACTGTTTTTTGTTTTTGTTTTTTTAAAGGTGCCCCTGTGGCACCTTGAGATGTCAAAAGCTAGGGTTTGAAATTGTTGCTCCTGAAAGCAGAGCACGGAGAATCATGATGCATTATTTCCTGTCCTGAGTCAGCAGTTGGCTTTGCTAACTGGCTCCTGGCTGTGGCCATGACAGCAGGCCAGCCTCATGCACACGCGGGGGGACAGGGGATGCGGACACTCACAGTTCACGGTGACCTTCACTCTCCGTACCACTGGCGCGGCCACGTCGTTGGAGGCACTGCACTCGTAGTCCCCTGACTGCTCCCGGGTGATGCCCTGAATTTCCAAGTATTCATCTTCACTCACAAAGCCAACAGCTGCATGAGAAGCAATAAGGTGTGGTGAAATGGAAGGAAAAGGGACCAAAGGTATAATCTTAGAAAACAAAGTGTGAAACGGTTACATCTGCAGAGAATTGTGCCACTCCTTCGGCCGCCAACTTTTCCTTGGATCCCCAGTGGACCAGCTGGAATGTCTGTGTTCCCAACTGAACTAAGCAGGGTGCCTAGAGAATTACTGGTCCTTGGTAAGTGATTCATAATTTCGACATTTACATTGCCTGAATCTTACCGAGTAGTCCTGCTCTGGGATCTGAGTTAGGCATCTTAACTCTTTCTTAGCTCCAGGTATGATTTAGACTGAGCCTTGAATGCAGAGTTGATGACTGGACCCCTGACCATGACTTAATTCAAAATGCCACGCTAGAACTGTGTGCACGCATGCACACACACATGCACGGGAGCTGCGAAGGCAATGGAAACACTAATAGAATACATTTGACTTTCTGTTTTTTGATTTAGACAATTAAGTGGATAGGCAGAAATCAGTTTTCTAAACTTCCATCTGCTTAAGCTCTTAGGTACAAGATCCTAAATACAAACCCACAGTGGGACGCGGCACTTGATGCCTAACCATAAGCACAGCAGAGAGTAAAGTCAGAAGACAGGGCTGCAATCTTATTCTGTCCTGTACTCATCCTGAGACTCGTTTTCTCCAGTGAAAAAGTACGAGTAATAATAACAATCGTTCACATGCCAGACCCCATGCCTGAGGTCCGGCCATGAGCATTCAGTTATGGAAAGACCAAGACAGGTACGCCCAGAAGGCAGGTTTCAGAGTTCTCTCCCAGAGGCACCTCCATCTTAGCCTCCTTGCAAAACACAATGAAGAACAAAAATAACTGCTTACATCTTGGGTAGTTCTCCCTCATCTGTAAAATGAGGATAATTAGGATGACAATATCCTAAACCAGTGTAAAAGGGGGCAGTATTAACAATTATTATGGGACAACAAGCATAAATTGAAACTGTCCCTAGCAATTGGGAAACATTCTCCCAGGTATAACAGACATATAGTCCTAATTCCTAATACCTCCCAGGGCTATTGAGAGCAACAAATGAACAACAACAGCAACAACTATATATATATATATATATATATATGTAAAAGCACTTCAAAAACCCTCATGTGCTGCACACCTGTTGATCTAGTTATTAATCCTCTAATCTGGCTAGAGGCACAGATTCAGGTGGAATGAAACTATGTTAGTATGAGTGGGAAACAAAGAAAGGGAAACAAAGGAACATTTCTCTCCAACTCATAAAACCCCTCCATAATGACACATTTCTGCTGACCCAACACATGACAATGATAACTATAGACACTACTATGTTGCAAAGAATGATATATGTGGTACGTAAGGTATGGTTGTATTTGTTCCAAGACAGTGTTAAGGTCACCAGTTTTGTCAAGATAACAGTAGTAACAATAACAATAGCAACAATAGCAAAACATCTGTCTCGTAAAGAAAGGCTGCTCCCTTGTCCCATTCTGCCAGCAGGACTCGGTCATGGTGTCTTTACTACCATCCGTAAAAGCCCAACCTCAGCACTTCTTCATAAATCTTCATGCCATGTAGAACCTACACTGTATTAGTACAAACATTCTCTTGCCTCTGTTACATACAGCAGAAAAAAAATCCAGCCTCTGTCTATTATAACAAGCAAGAAAGAAATATTAAATTCACAAGACAAAGAAGGAACATGTTAGCAAGTAGAAATCAAGGACCAAAAGTCTAAGATATGGAGACAACAAACAACCTTAACCCAAACAGACTTCTAGTTCCTGCCAGTAAGAAACTTCTAATTGTCTCAGTAGCCTTTATTATTATTGTTTCATAAGCATTTTCAGGGAGAAAAGTACTAAACTTGATTTGAAGAAGGGTGGAGGAAATGAGGAGAAGAGGTTTAAATGAAGAATTTGCAATTCCTCTTATGTTGTCGTTGTTTATTTGCTACCAACCACAAGCCTACATGTGTCAGATCTTTCCCGCTAGAATGCTATAATTACTGTGCAAAGCATCTCGGAGACCAGTGTCACACTTAATATTCCCATTAATTTTAAATGGTAGTCCTTGGTACATATGTGTGGCAATTGGTGTCATATTTTAATTAGGCTTGCCCTACACCATCTGAAATTAATAATAGCTTGAATTACCAGTGTAATTTATAAATTAACAGTGCTGCAGCGTTAGGAAGTAAATTAGCTCTGGACAGCTGTTTCTGGACCGAGCTCCAGTGTCGGAGCAGTGACTGGTAGGACCCCAGGTCTCCTGGGAGGCTGTATGTTATACCACCAAAGCAGGGAAACAAAAAGAAAAGATTCCCTGGGTCTCTTGTTCTCTCCAACTAAAGTCCATGTGTGTGTTTTAATTTCACTACCCAAACATACTCTCGTGTGACCACAGTGAGGTTTATAGGGGCCAACCTTTGATGAGCTTGATACAGGGACATCCAAGTGGAGAAGCACATTGTCCTCAACTGAAAGTCAAGTACACAAACATTAGGGCAATCAAAATCAATAAGTCATCTGCAGGAACATAGGTGTATTGATGTATGTGCAGTCTTACAAATTCATGGCAGGTGATCCTTCTGTAGGCAAGGCTGCTGGATGGCTCACGTTTTGCGGGAGGCATGTGGTCTCCACTGGTCCAGATCTCTATACCCAGGGGGAGGGGATTTACACTTAAGCCATTCTGCAAACACTAATGAGGCTTAATCTTACCATCATGTGTTTCCTGGACCAAATGCAGAATTACAGAGAAACCGTGCATTCTTCTGATTAGAGTGGCTAAGGAATGTGAAAAGTAATTTGTATATAGTAAAATGCTTTATAATTTTTAGCTATCATTGTCATTATTGTCCCCTTATTCTCACACACTTTTTTCTCCACTAGCGGCACGCATGGCAAAAGTAGAAAGATGATCAGTATACACATCACAAACTAAACCTTGAACCACCTGAAATGAGGTTCCTATAGGTGCGACCTAAAACAAACAAAAAAACAAAACACATTAAACTAAAATCTGAATTTCTAGAGTTAATGAATCAAGGAAAAGTTTCATTTAACAGCATTTGTGCCATGGCTATAAAAGTGATTGGTCCTTTATTACTAGTGTGAAGAACTTACAAAGCATATTGGAGGAGAAGAAAACCAACCGAGCAGCCTTTTTGACGTGCTGAAGGAAATTCTTGCTCAAGAGACACCAGGGAGGAAGAGGCAAGCCGTGAAAAGAAGCTCTTCCTGGTCAACAGCTTCTCATTTGTACGTCTGCCTTCCCTTTTTCTAAAGAAAATGCATTCTTGGGTGGAAATGACACATTCATCTTCCTAAAATACCGCTTCGTCATGGCACACCTGACACTAAAAGTGCCTTCCTCTTCTCTGCCACATCAAACACAACCTCCCCTGCTTTGCTATCAAAGCCCTCCACAAAGTAGCCCCCAGTCACTCACTCAAGTTCATCCTGTCTCGGCGACATGGAGGAGGCAGCAGCTCGCCGTTGCAAAGAGCAAAGTTCTGGGACTGGACAGGCCAATTCCTTGTCCTCTAGTTCCATGGCGTGGGAAGCCCCCTGACTCTTCCGCGGCCCCATTGCTCCATGCGCGCGAGGCAGAAGAATATCACCTGCTTCTAGAGTTGCTGTGAATCACAGCACAGGGAAGGCGGCGGCACGGTGAGAGGCACGTGGCAAGTTCTCCGTCAGAGTTGGCCACTGCAGTCATGGTTACGCCGCCACCGCCACAGCCCTTAGGCCAGGCCGTGCTATTTTTCATCCTGGACAAACATGATGACTCCTTCCTCACAGATTGTTTTTGTCACCTAGAAGGCTATATCCTTCCCATCTACCTAAGAAAATACCACTTTTCTTTCAAAGTTTAACTTTTCCATCAAACCTCCCTAGTATGGGTTAAATTGTGCCTTCCAAAAAAGATAAGCTGAAAGCCCTAACCATCACAATGCGGTCCCTCAGAATGTGACCATATTTGGACAAAGGATCTTTACAGAGGTCATCAAGTTAAAATAAAGTATTAGGTAGGGTAGGTCCTAATCTAATATGACTGGTGTCCTTGTAAAAAGGGACAGACACGCATAGAGAATGTGCAGTGCGCAGACACGCAGGGGAAAGACAGTCACGTGACTGGAGTGGTGGATCGGGGACACCAAGGGTCACTGGCGCAAACCAGAAGAGGCAAGGGAGGGTTCTTCTCTATACTGGTGAGGAGAGCACAGACCAACCAATACCTTGATTCGGGACTTCTAGCCTCCAGAACTGTGAGTTTTTGTTGCTCTAAGCCACACAGTTTTTGTACCTTGTTACAGCAGACCTGGGACACTAACACATGCCCTTTTATCACCTAACTCTTGGCACCTCAGGATGTCCTGGTCCCTTATTGTATGTTCAGTTCATCTAGTCTTTAAAATCATAAGTGAATGAAACTAAGGAGCTTTAAGGGACATTAATGCTTACATAATTCCATAGTTGCTATACTAGGACAAAGTTTGACTGTAGTAGAATTCACTAGAATAGCTGCTTAAATTATAGATTTCTAGGTCCCACCCATACCTAGTAAGTCAGAATCTCCTGTGCCGAGTTTTAATAATTTGGACAATAGGAGACTCCCCTGGGGATTTGGGGACAGTTGTGACCACATATCCAGCTTGCTTCACTGCACTGCTCTGGCTGTCACATTCCACTTAGTGAAATAGCTGTGCTCCTGAAAAGCTGGAAATTCTCATGTACAGGCAAGTTTGGGAATTAGTGGTTTAGCTCAATCCTCACATTTTTCATGTGGGAAACTGAAGCTTAGAGGAGTCAGTGGTCACACGTCTGGTTAGTGACAAAGTACACCAGGTCTCCCGACATCAACCCACTGCTCCTGCCATGTAATGGCGTTTCTAACAGCTGCTTGTGCTGTGCACACAGGTCACATTTTTCCAATGCAATTGAAGCTCCTTGGTAGCAGGAACCAGGTCTT